TCAGGCCAGTGCTGCTTCCTCAAGAAAGTTTTTCATTCTCACGTGTTTTAAGTCTTGTCAGTTTAAAAATTAAAGTAATTTTAAGTCATTTAAGCCCAAGACATCTCAGTGCAATAAAGCGTTTCTATGCGCACCGCGCACACATCTGAAGTGCACAAACAGATAGCCTTCTCAGACAGCAGGTGAATACCAATGGCTGTCTTGACAAGTATCCTTGTAAGCACAGTCGGTTGTTTTAAGTGAACGTAAACAGTAAAGGAAATATCAGATTTACATCAGTATAACGGATCCGTGCATTTCTTTTATAAATGTTAATCAAAAAGAGCAAAAGAAAAATCATTCGCTGCTTTAATAGCTTTAATGGATATTTGCGTTATGTTGATGTTAATAAAGTAATTCGGTGTGAATACAGTAGTTTGGTGTTGGGGGGTCGCGAGTGAAATTAGACAAACTTGGGGGGGCGCATGTCCTAAAAGGTTGAAAACCCCTGCAAAGTAATTCGGTGTGAATACAGTAATGGGGGGGGGTGTTGAGTGTTGGGGGGGCGCGAGTGAAATTAGAAAAACTTGGGGGGGCACATGTCCTAAAAGGTTTAACACCCCTGGCCTATAGGATGTATTTTGAATGTCTCAAATAACATTATAGTCCCGTCATAGTTTTTATCATCAGATATTAGTTTTAGCTCGTCAATGTCTTGTCTTAGTTACAGAAAAAATGTTCATTAACGAATATTTCTCGTCTTAGTTCCAGAAAAAATGTTTGTTAACTAATATTTTTTGTCATCGTCTTCGATGACAAAATTAACACTGCAATATTGCACACCCCTGCCAACTATGTTATCATATTTTAGATCACAAATTAAAAGGAATGAAGCTCTCATTTTTTAGCTCTCAAATCAAATATATGCATATTCAAATTGGGCATGTGAAGACATCCAGTTTGACATCAGTGACACCAAATCTCACATCTAGTGATCAAAACAAAAATTCTGAATATGGTTGTAATGTTGGAGAATGTGACAACGGAGTTGGTGGATCCAAGTGCAGGTTTTATTCAAAAGAGTGGTCAAAACAGGCAGAGTCAAACAACAGCTAACAGGTATAATCCAGGAAGAGACAAAAGAGTACTCCAATAAACAGGCGAAGATCAGGGCAGGCAGCAAACTAGGAATGGCTGACGCGAAACTGACATTTCAACACGGTGTCGAGATCCCGAAGCACAGATGTTTCGAAACACTGCTCCGAAGTGTGATTCGAAACACCCATGTCTGTGACACACCATGACTAAGGCAAATCAAAGCATCAGGATGTTTCACAAGTGTTTCGAGACCCAAATCTGCTTTTGATCAACAGGGTCGGGAACAAACCACACAATCGCACATCTGTCTTAACCTAACTCCCGCAAAGTATAAAAGTGGAGTTAATGCAGCAGAACAATTTATATATTTAAATAAAAATCTTTATATGTAAAAAATGCCAGGCGTTGTGGCTTGATGTCTTTTATTAATGTACATTTTTTTCATGACCAAAATAACATTCACAAAGAGTTCATTCAGTTGTCAGAGAGATGTTACAACACATTACAAGAACAGAACAATAAAAACACAACTTTCAAATATTTTTTATAATTATATACACGCTTTACCCGGGATTCGAACCTAAAGTGACAGGTTCTGACAACATGCCAATCACGCACACTAACCACTCCCCCAACCCACATGGTGGAATGACAAGCACAACAATACTGTTTTTGTCAATGTCAATACTGTTTCAGAGCAATACTTGAAAATGACCACTAGGTGTCACCGTAGAGACGGGTGTCGAATTGTTTCGAAGCTTCAGCACATTTGCTTCGACTCTTTCAGTGTTTCATGAAGCCTCGCTCTGCCCACCACTACAGCAAACAATCAGATACAAGGAAACAGTCCAGGGTCAAAACTAGGCAAGGCAAGGCAACAAGGAACTAGGGATGGCTGACGCGAAACTGATGTTTCGACATGGTGTCAAGACCCCGAAGCGCAGATGTTCCGAAACACTGCTCCGAAGTGTGATTGATCGAGCTGATGAAGACTAGTTTATTTACTTTAAATGCTTTAGACATGTAAAAAACCCGCATTTCACATCATTATTCAGTGCTTTAATAATATAATTGCGTTTACATTACATAATTGCATGATTACGTAAACAATCTTTTGAACTGAACCAGTTCATTGAAATGAACTGTCTGAAAGAACCAGTTTACGGAAAATAATCAGATTTTCCCATTGCTATGGATTATAGGTAATGATGTACAGACTGATTGTTTCGCTTCATAATACCTCAATATATTGGCAGTATATATATCAGTTAATTTTGTGTTTCTTGAATTTTATTTTATTATTATTCTCTAAAACAGTAGCTGCTGACTTGCATTTTATGAATCACTAAGGACCATGATTTCAAGTAAAAATTTTCTTGACTGTTCTACTCAAGAAAAGAAGTCACATCTTGGATGGCTTGAGGGTGAGTAAATTAACAGCAAATTTTCATTTTTGGCTGGCTTCATACTGACTGCAGACAAAAAGTCTTGATTGTTGGTGATTTTAATATTCATGTAGATAATGGAAAAGACACATTGGAATTGGCATTTATAGACATTCTAAACTCTACTGGAGTTAGATAACACTTGCCAGGGTCCACTCATAGTTGGAATCAAACTCTAGATTTATTTTTGATACATGGAATCGATGTTGATGGTGCTGAAATTCTGCAGCAGAGTGATGACATTTCAGATCATTATGTAGTTTTGTGTATAGTCCATTTAACTAAAGCTGCAAACTCAACTCCTTGTTACAAATATGGTTGAACTATCACTTCTACCATTAAAGACTAGAACTAAACTATCTTCCTCACTCGTCTCAACTCCTCAGCATACCAGATAGCTCAAAAGAATTTGATGTTTCCACAGAAACTATTGACTCTCTTTTCTAGCACTTTACACATGGTTGCTCCTTTGCGCTTAAAGAAGATTAAAGGGATAGTTCACCCAAAAATGAAAATTTGCTGTTAATTTACTCAACCTCAGTCCATCCAAGATGTAGATGACTTTGTTTCTGAATAGAACAGTAAAAAAGATTATAAACTGAAACCTTGGTCCTTGGTGATTCATAAAATGCAAGTCAGCGGCTGCACATTTTTGGAGAAAAAAAAAGCACATCAAGGAACACAAAATACCCTTGGTATCTGAAGATGTATTGAGGTCTTATGAAGCATAACGATTAGTCTGTGCAAGAAACTAAACATTATTTATGACATTACCACCTGTAATCCATATCCTCAGTCAAACAGTCCAGAGAGATGTCCATTTCGCAAATGAATCATTCTTTTGAACCAGTTCTTTTTAAGATTGGACTTAACCATCTGAAACAGTTTGGAGCTCAAGCAGCACAGATATACATGTTACTTAATCAAAACTCACTTTCGTATGTGCCTGACAGTCACTTTGACTCAAAATTAACCAAAATACTGGCATATATCTTCCTGTAATGCTGGTTTTTGACAACTCATTCAGCGCTCCAGTTCCTCCAACAGTACACTGAACTAAGGAAATAGTTCCAACTCCGACCAAAGACTGATGAGCCGGTGATATGCACATGCGTGAACCTAACACTTGAATGAAGGAGCAAAATTAAAGTTTGAATGGTTTCTCATTGTTTATGTAAAAAGGTGAGCTGATGAAGACTAGTTTATTTACTTTAAATGCTTTAGACATGTAAAACACCCACATTTCACATCATTATTCAGTGCTTTAATAACATAATTGCGTTTACATTAGATAACTGCATGATTATGTAAACGAACTAGTGAACTGAACCAGTTCATTGAAATGAACTGTCTGAAAGAACCAGTTTACGGAAAATAATCAGATTTCCCCATTGCCTGAGGCTATGGATTATAGGTAATGATGTAAATAATGTTCAGTTTCTCGCACAGACTGATTGTTTCACTTCATAATACCTCAATATATTGGCAGTATATATATCGTATATATATCAGTTAATTCTGTGTTTCTTGAATTTTTTTATTGTTATTATTCTCTAAAACGGTAGCTGCTGACTTGCATTTTATGAATCACTAAGGACCATGATTTCAAGTAAATATTTTCTTGACATCTAGGATGGCTTGAGGGTGAGTAAATTAACAGCAAATTTTCATTTTTGGGAGAACTATCCCTTTAAGGAAAACAATCCGATGCGGTGACATAACAAGCACACTCACACCCTAAAGAGAACAGCCCAGAAAATGGAGTGCAGCTGGAAGAAAACAAAACTACAGGTTTTTCAAATTGTGGAAGGATAGTGTTTCTGCCTACATAAATGCCTTAAAAACAAAAAAAAAAGATCTGCTATATTTTTCGACTCTTTGTCCCCAACTAAGCAAGCCACAAAAAAAGGGAAGGGAAACTAAGACACAGAAAAATAGAAATAAAAAAGAAAACGTATTTTCACAAACATTGGAAGACGATTTAAAATAACCCCCAGCTAAATACAGAATGAGAAATCATTATTAATATGCTACAAAGCACGCTGGTCTACAAGCATCTGTGACATGCGCATTTTTGGGAGAACTATCCCTTTAAGGAAAACAATCCGATGCGGTGACATAACAAGCACACTCACACCCTAAAGAGAACAGCCCAGAAAATGGAGTGCAGCTGGAAGAAAACAAAACTACAGGTTTTTCAAATTGTGGAAGGATAGTGTTTCTGCCTACATAAATGCCTTAAAAACAAAAAAAAAAGATCTGCTATATTTTTCGACTCTTTGTCCCCAACTAAGCAAGCCACAAAAAAAGGGAAGGGAAACTAAGACACAGAAAAATAGAAATAAAAAAGAAAACGTATTTTCACAAACATTGGAAGACGATTTAAAATAACCCCCAGCTAAATACAGAATGAGAAACCATTATTAATATGCTACAAAGCACGCTGGTCTACAAGCATCTGTGACATGCGCCTCTTACCATGTGGTAATGTTATGCTGGCGCCATCAATTATGGCTTGAGCAAGTTCATGGTCATTGCTCTCAAAGGCCTGGGCAGCTGCCTTAAGTGCATCCCAAATTTCCTTGCGGCCTTCAAAAGCCGGTGCAGTATCCCAGAATTCATCACGCTTGCTGCGCAACTGCCCTTCAGTCATTGGGTAGTCGCTCTTCCATTTGGGCTTCTCTCTCTTCAGGGGCTGGTTTCGCCCCAGTGCAACTGCAAAACATAGACAAACAGATCAAGATCCAACAGGATGTTTAAGATATGTATTATTACTCTATGCCAATAATGTAATAAAGCAAATTATGTAAATGTGAATGCCTGAAACCTCCTTAAATCTGGTAAAAGCACTGTAGCATAGCGCCACAGTTCTTGCGGCTTATATAAAATGTTAGCAACAGCAATATAACAACAAAAGCAGTGGTGTAATGTAACAAAGTAATAATAATTTGTTACAGTACTTAAGTATTTTTGGGACTATCTGTACTTTACTTGAGTTTTTATATTTCAGAAGTCAGAAGAACACGGACTGCAGGAAAGCAAGTTAGACTCATGCTCATGTGCAAACAAGTGCGCGCACAACCACGGATGATTCCTTTTCCACTCAAGTCGAGTCTGGGGTGTGTGATACAGCATCGTCTGCGATAATATGGTAAGTGTTGTTGTAATGATGTGCGATCTGATATTATGATCTTTTTTTTTGGTTTTGTTTACTGTGTGGAGACGTGCTGATATCGTGTTTGGTCTCGTTCTGTATCGCGTATCTTGTCAGTGTCTGCGCTTGCTTGGCCATTTGTTGTGGAAAAAATAAGGAAAGTGTGTCCAGCTGAATTAATTTAGTATTTTGTTAG